AGGGAAGGGCGCCTCTAATCTGGAAAGCCTACTAAACCGGAGTGAGTGTGTTTAATTGCCTCCAGCGATGAGAAGCTCTCTCCCTCAGCTTCCTTGTATGCAACCTGTGCCGAATTCCAGGTCCTGAGCTTTAGGGCTTTTTCTTATCTCTTCGAATCCTTTAAACAAACCCGGTGAGTTGTGGTTCCCAGGGCTGCAAACCAAGGCACAGAGAGGTAAAGCGACACAGCAAGGGGCTGACTTGAACGGTCTCCCATCCACCGCACGCTGGAGTTTTCCAGAATGTGGGACTTGTGGGGAGGGGCGGGTTCTGGGCTGGCTGAGGATTAAGGCTCTCCTCTCGTGTCAAATCGAGGGCGAGAGACCCCAGGAGACCCCTAGCATCAAGCGGACCCCGTTTGAACCTCACTCCCCAGCTTCCCGGCTGTGGAATTTTCCGTTGCATTTTTTTGCGTAGTTTGTAGTCTTATTTTTTTAAAGTTAAGTAATGAATGAGTTTTTCATAGGTAATACCACCCCATGGTGGGAAAAAAAAGAAGAATCAAGCAGTTCTAAAGAGTGAACACTGCGACGTGTCCACTTCCTCCGTCCCCTGGTCCCAGTTCCCCTCCTGCCACGCTCGGTCTCCCGAGAAGCAGCTTCTGCGTATGTCACCACTGTGTGCCGATGTATTTATATCCTTCCCACCTTTTTTTTTTTAAAAACCTCTGATACACACTTCTTCAGACCTCAGCTTTTTCCAATTTCAGCTCAGCTGTTCCCTCGTCTTTAAAGAGGTTAAGAACTTGGGTGAACTTGGGCTCACCCTCTGCTTACTTGCTGTGGGACCTGGGACAAGCGTCTTCGCCTCTCGTGAGGTCATTGCAAGGTTCTTTGTGGAGATGGGAGCTCAGTGCCTAGAACAGTGCCTGGGACGCGGGCTAACCAGGAATTGTCAGCTGAGTTTTCCTTTTTTGGCACGTGGCTGATTTAACAACTCTTGGGTACCTGCTAGGTTCTGGGGACACAGCAGTGAACAATAAGGACAAAAACTCCTGCCCTCACGGTCCTGACGTTTTGTGAGGGGCGATGGGGCTCTGTCAGGCAGGGATAGCTGCTGTGTGACATGTGGGACATTCCACGGGAGGGAGAGGAAATCCCCAGATAGTGCTTGGACCAGGGGAGACCTGGGGGAGGTGAGGATCCAGGATGAGGAAGGACAAGTGCATAGGCCTGAGGCAGGAATGTGTCTGGCATGTGGAAGGAGCAGCATGAAGGCCGGAGGGGCTGGAACAGCGAGCTGGGGGAAGGGAAGGGATGAGATCAGAGATCACACGGATCAGGAAAGCCACAGAGAGCGCTCGGCTTCTTTCGGCCCCAGCCGGCGGAGCCAGCGTTGCTTCCGAGAAGAGGAGGGACTCAATCTGCCCGGTGTTTTAACAGGATCCTTCTGCCGTGATGGGGACACTACGGCCTGGAGTGGGGTAGGACCAGCCTGGGGTCACTCAGCAGGCACCCTCTGACCAGGCCAGGGCCTCAGCAGGGCAGGGCCCCTTGGGAGAGCAAAGTGCAGCCAGGGTGGGGTGGCAAAGACAAGCCGGGCACCTGGCCAGAGTCTGCCCTGGGTGTGGGTGGCAGGTGTGGGCGAGGCCTTAACCCTGCCCTGCCAGGGGCAGTGGGAGCCAAAAACAGCCCCCGAGGCTGCCCTTGTCTGCAAACTGCACCTGGTGTTTGAGGAAAGCCCACGCACGCAGTCCCTGGTGGGTGGTTAAGACAGTGGACCTGGAAAGCAGGTGGCCTGGGTTCAGATCCTCACTCTGCTGCTTACCAGCTCCGTGACCGGGCACAAGTCACGCAACCTCTCTGAGCCTCTGTTTGCATTCCTCGCTCGCAAAATGAGGATGAAATAGCGTCCACCTGGAAGGGCTGCAGTGAGAATAGTGACTGAGGAGAAGGCCGAGGGCGCCTGACCCGTGGAGGTGCCTGGTCCGGAGGCACCACAGCCATGTAAACTTGGGAGTGTCTGGGGGACTCAGCCTCCCAGCCTAGGAACGCGGAGCTGGGTCTGCTGAGGGCTCTCCCTGCCCTGTCTCCGACAGCATCGGCGTCGTGCTGCAGCCCCCAGACCTGATAGAGACAGAGCCATCGCGGGTATCATTTCTCTCCCCGGAAACCTCTGACCACCAACTTCCTCTTTTCAGGAAAAAATTGGGTGGGGGTGGGGGTGGGGGTGGGGGCTA